CATAAAGAGAGGAAGAGAGACACAGAAACATGGATGAGAGAGAACATCAACTGGCCGCCTCCTGCATGTCCCCACTGGGCCCACAACCTGGGCATCTGCCCTGACCGGGAATCGAACCAGCAACCTTTTGGTGCATGAGTCGACGCTCAACCACTGAGCTACACCGGCCGGGCAATAAACATGTTTTTAGACATGCAAGCTGTGACAAACATTTCCTCAGGAGCAATTATAGGACTTGCTAGATCAAAACAGGGGAGTAAACCAAGAGAGAGAAAGAGCTCAAGTCTAGGACCAGGGATGACGTGAAAAGGGAGAGAAAGGGATGTTCCAGGTGGCTGTGAAGGACACCGCGACACGAAAGGTGTGCCTCACTAAGAGACAACACCAGTCCAGAGAGTGCAGGCCAGCAACTTTGGGAGAGATTTCTTCCTGCGAGTGAAATTGATTGAACTCCCAAAGAATCAGCAAATGTTGACAGGAGAAGGACATGCCTGGGAGAAAGCTGGGGTGGGAGTTGCGATAAATACATAGAAAAGTAAGCAGATGAGGGAAAAGGACACTGTGAAGTCTGCCCAAGGAAAGAACGAGCCTTCAGGGTAGACTGCATGGCTCCACAGAGAGCAGCATTTGCTTAGATAAAACAAGCAGACAAGCAGATAGGGTCAAATCTAGGATCAGCCCCTTTGGGAGGATGGAGAGGCAGGGAGCAGACACACGAGTGCAGAGGGTGAGAGCCATGGAGAGGAGCTAAGGCCTTTTCTACACAGTGGGAACGGTCAAAGAATCAGCCTGAAGGGTTGCCTTGGTCACGTCGGGGAAGAGGAAGTGGAGGGCTGATTCTTTAAACTGAGTGCCTCTACCATGTCACAGAAATGAAAGCTGCATGAATAAGAACAGCAAGAAACAATTGCTGCAAAATGCAGAAGACCAGCATGAGCAACACACACTGCTCAGTGAGCTAATTAAATAACATCAGAACCTCTGAGTCCTAGGAGAAGCTTGGCAAATCTCCAAAGAAGATTGAAAGTCAAAGACATGATGGACACGACACAGCAAAATTGATATAAACCGGAGATGAGAAAGAGAGACCATTGGCAATCCAGGCTGAGCAACGAGGTGTCAGCCTGACAAAAGCAGCAAGAATAAATGCCAAACTCTGTTCATCCATTTGGACAAAGCTCTACCAGGAAATAATGAGAAGACAACCAGCAGAACACTGAGCATCTTCAGGAACTCTGTCGGCAACATGATGACCACACAGAAGCAGCTGGATCAAGAAAGGAGTGCAATGGGGGAAAAATGTGGAACATATGTAATACATTTTACGTCCAACAATAAAGATTTGAAAAAAAAAGAAAGGAGTGCGTGAGCACAGGCAGGAGCTCTCAGATGCAGTGAAACTTCCTACTGAGATTCAAGAAAGACAGGCTGAGTTGCAGGAATCAGAGAGCTCTCCGCAGCCTTGACTGCTTTCGATGGGAGATGCCTGACAACCAGCTGCTGCCCGAGCTACAGGGACCTGCTGCTGGAGAGAAGGTTGGCGTCCTCCAGCCCGAAACAAAAATCACTCGAGGGAAACCCGGAGACCTGAGGTCATGACAGTTCCCTTCGGGGAGACGTTCCTCTCAGACGCTTCCACTCCACTGTCTCCCGAGACGGGCAAGCTCTTGGCCCTGTGCCTGGAGACCATGTGCCCATCTGTCATGTCTTTCTCTTCCTGCCATGGAAGAGGGGCCTAGATATGGCTCTGTGCCACCAATGGGTCATGGGGGAGCCTCCATCAGTAGGCCGCTGGTCGAAGCCCTCACACAGGTCCATCAGAAGACCCAGAGAAGCCTGACCCTTCCAGGGTGGTTACAACAGTGCTGAGGGCCCTGCTCCCCCTAACCCTGTCTCTGGTCATTGGACCTGTCCACCCCCACCCCATCTGTTAAGGCAGTGGTTCTCAACCTTCCTAACGCCGCGACCCTTTAACACATTCCTCATGCTGTCTGTGGGCGTATCTGCATGTGGGCGGACACGCCTGGGGACGGATGGAGGAGCGGTGTTTGGTTCCTAAGACCATCGGAAATATGTGTTTTCTGATGGTCTTAGGTGACCCCTGTGAAAGGGTTGTTCGACCCCCAAAGGGATCGCGACCCACAGATTGAGAACTGCTGTGTTAAGGCATGTTTTCATTTTTAAAAATTTTTGTAAGTGTTTATTTGAGCCAAACTAAGGGAGCAATATATCAAATGCCCTGGAGAATAAGTTTGTTAAGGCATTTTTTGTTGTTGTTAATCCATACCCGAGGATATTTTCCTTTCCATTTATCTTCAGATAGAGGGGGAGGAGGGAGAGAGACACACACACATCAATGTGACAGAGACACATTGACCAGCTGCCTCCTGCACAACCCCAGCCAGGGCCAGGACCAAACCGCAACCGAAGTATGTGCCTTGGACTGGAATCAAACCTGCAACTCTTTGGTCCACAGGCTGGCGCTCTAACCACTGAGCAACTGGCCAGGGCCCAAGGATATTTTTTCCATTGATTTTTAGAGAGAACGGGAGGGAGGCAGAGAGAGAGAAACATCAGTGTGAGAGAAACACATCAGTCGGTTGCCTCCTATACATACCCCAATCAGGGCTGGGGATTGAACCTGCAACCCAGGTATGTGCCCTTGACCAGGAAATAAACCATGACCTTTCAGCACATGGGCCGATGCTCTACCACTGAGCCACACTGCCAGGGCTGTTAAGGCATGTTTTGAGTGGGGATAGGAATGAAGGATCTGCCATCAAGCTCAACAAGTCATGGCTTCATGAATCGGGGGTGGTGCCAATCTAACAGAGGCACTTTGAATTCCAAAATACTTCCATCTGGTCTTGTCCATTGAAGGGACCTCAGCCCCTCGCACACAGGCATGAAACATTCATAGCTCTCATTTGGAAGGAAAACGAAGTTTCATTAAAGTGACTAAAAACCAGACAACGTTTTTATTTGACAGCTAGTGAAACTGAGGTCCAGAGGCTGGAGAGGCGTGGCCGAGGCCACCGGCACGCGGATGGCAAGGACTGCATGCTGGTGAAGTGAGCAGTCGGTTCTCTCCAACACAAAGCCTGTTTTCATTGTACTAGAAAAGTTCACTGGCCTGGGGGGTGAGGGGCAGGGGTCCAGAGCTAATTGATTAAAAAAAATAATACTCTTCCTATGATTCAATGAGATTAAAAATTCAACATACTTGGATTTTCTTAATAATAGAGATTAGAATAAATATTAAAGCCTGCTATGGACTGAATTGTATCACCCCAAAACTTGAGCCCCAATGTGACAGTATTTGGACATAGGACCTTTAAGAGGATAATTAAAATTAGATGAGGTCAAAAGGGTGGGGCCCCAGTCCAACAGGATTGGTGTCCTTTATAAGAAGAGGAAGAAACACCAGATCTCTCTCTCTCTCTCTCTCTCTCTCACACACAGAAGGAAAGTCGTGTGACGACACAGTGAAAAGGTGGTCATCTGCAAGCCAGGTAGAAAGGTGTCACCAGATGCCAACCCTGAGAGCACCCCGATCTTGGCCCTTCAGCTGGTAGAACTGTGAGGAATGAATCTCTCATTTAAGCCCTCCGTCCCGTGGTGTCCTGTCATGGCTGTCCCAGCAGACTCATAGAAAGCCCCTTGATGTCGGACAGATCTGGTTCTAATCCCTGCCCTACATTCTGTGAGCTGTATGGCCTTGGGCATACAGCTTAATCTCTCTGCACTTTAGTGTCCTCATCTGTTGAAAGGAATGATTTCACAGGGCTATTGAAAAGATGGCACATAGCGTGGGTAAGAAGCCCACACCGTGCGAAGCACAGAGTAGGCACAGATGGGGACATGCCAGGCATAGGCTCAGCAGGGCTCTGCCCTCTATTCAATCATCGCCTGGGCCCTCTGAAAGAGTCACTGATGAATAAGCCATCACCCTCCCTCTCAAAGAACTTGCAGTGTTAGTGGATAGAGCAGGACAGAACTGCAATTGAGAATATGTCCCCAAGAGGTGTCTTTCCAAACTCTGCTTGAAGTTAGTCAAATTGCTAGCAGGACCCTTGGAGCTATGGTATTTCTGTGTGAAATAAGGCTTTGCTTAGTCACACCTGGTGCCAAATATCAGTTTGCAATTGAGTTACGAAAAGCCCTTGCAACCTGAATCTGTAGACATGTGTTCTCTCTCTAGCCTGAAACGACCTGTATTCTGTAACTGAAAAAATCTACGCTGGCTGCCCGTTCTGTGACGCAGACACTGCGAGGGTTCAGTTGCCAGAGCCCTGAGGCACACGTGTGGGGATGCTGCCCCCTCTCAGCAGGGTGGTCCAGTAGCCAGGAGACAATAGCCACTTTGTGGCTTTGCATTCAAGAGAACATTTGGAGCATTTTCATTTCAAAGAGGACCCTGCAGCGCTGTCCAGCTTTCTTGGGTTTGGGCTAGAATTCTGGAAGGCAGGGAAGAATGCCTGGGCTGGTTTAGGAGCTGTCTTCTGGGCTCCCCTAGCCCACTGAGCTTTTTGGTCAAGCACACACCACCCAGGTTGCCTGGAGGCCTGTTCCCCCACCTCTACCCTGGGGCTGGGAAGTATCTAAGTGTCTGTCAAGTCAACAGTAAATGCAAACCTCAGATGCCCCTTCTCACTTGGAGCGTCTCCTGGCCAGAGGTCTGCTGAGCTGAGGGCCCAGTGTTTATTCCCACCCTCTGGGCACACTCTCTGCACAATGAGACAAGTGAGAAAGGCCTTTGTCAGCACATTTTAAGTCTGAGTATAAGTGAGGGGTTACTGAGCACTTGTGGCCCCTGCTCAGGTCCAGGGGCTGACCAAACTGGTTTCTTTAGAGGATGTGATCTGTCTTGTTTCTCAGACCCCATGTGTCTGGCGTTTCCCTGTATGGTCTCATGGCCTCTCTTCTTTCCTGGGAGTGATCTGGCTCCGCCTTTGGGAACTGCCGCAAACCATCCCGAAATGGAGCCGGTGCATTCTTACCAGCCTGAAGACCGACATCCTGACGGGCAGCTCCTTGAAGCCTGTGTGCAGAGAGAGCAGAAGTCAGTCCTCGTGGCCTGGCAGAGCCCCTGGAGGGCTGAGGGTGTTCTTCAGTGTGCCCCAATGCCTGGCCCGGGGCCTGGCGCAAGAAACGACTCTTGAATAAAGAGTAAGTCACGGTCCCATCCAAGTGTAAGAAGACACTTTCCCAGTTTCTTTCATCCTGAACGCTGATTTGGCACTTGGCACCGGGCTCAGCATAGGGAGGGAGGGTAGGCGGCTCCAGACACACTTAAGCGCGTCCCTGTCACCCAGAAGCACAGCTTTCGTCTGGTCAGATGTCTGCACAAACCAGCCGTCACCGTACGCCGGGGAGCCGAGGCCAGCAGCATCACAGCTCCAGACATATGGCATACTCTCTCTACTCCTCACGGCACCCCAAACACAGCTGCCCCCCGTTTCGCACATGGGGCGTGACAAAGGAAGGCGGCCACTTGGTCAGCAGCACTGCTGGGAACCCAGCTTGCATCTGCCCCTTTCATAGCTGTCCCCTGCACCTGGCTGCCCCACACTGGGCAGGGCCTGGTCAGCTGCCAGCAGAGGCTGGGGGCAGAGCCCTGACCTGAAGGAGGAGGCTTGTCCGGACCTGGAACCCTGCAGCCCAGCCCGGGTCACACTGAGCAGCTGATCACTGAAGTTTTGTTTCTCAGCCTGCTCCCTGTGTCCAGCAGGAGACCATGGCTCTGACAGGTGGGTCAGGACTCACAGGGAGGGGAGGGCAGGTGGGGAGGCGGGTCAGCAGCAGGCTGAGTGGGGGTGAGGGCAGTGGCAATACTGGGGCAGCTGTGTGTGGCCAAGTCTTTTTGCCACTCTGTTCTTTTGGATGAAGAGTTTTCTTATTCCAATTTTTACTTAGTACATAAAAGTATTTATATATTTGCCCTGGCCGGTTTGGCTCAGCAGTTGGAGCGTCGGCCTGCGGTCCTGAGAGACCCGGGTTCGGTTCCCGCTAAGGGCACGTACCTCGGTTGCAGTTTGTCCCCGGCCCTGGTCGGTTGTGCAGGTGGCAGCCACTCGATGTGTCCCTTTCACGTCTATGTTCCTCTCTCTCCCTCCCACTCTACCTGAACAAAAAATGGAAAAATGTCCTCGAGTGAGGATAAAAAAAAAGTATTTATATATTTAATGACTATATAGACTTACTTCCTCCCTAACCCTAAGGAAACACAGCGTCTCTTCTCCGAGCCCCATGCGCACTCCTGTCTCCTGTGGCTCAGGGGCTGAGCATCTGGAAAGGTGCCCTGGGGATGCTGCCCCCCCCCCCCCCAGTGTGAGGGCCTCCCAGCCCTAGTGCTGCCTTGTGAGAGGGCGTGTCCGAGGGCACTGGGAAGGGGGTGGCTGCAGGAGGGAGGGCAGGTCCTGGACTGATTCAGCTTGCTTCTTCCTGAAATGGGAATCCTTGGGTTTTTCAGGGTCACTGTGAGGTCAGAGACAAACTAAGCACTCCCAAAATGTTTGTGTGTGTCCTCAGGCCTCCCCCAGGAAGCACTCCTGAGGTCCCTGAGGGATTATCATGTCCGGGCGGGAGACTGCTGACAGGGTCCCCCGGATTCCCTCTCCTCTATCCTAGGAGAGCAGTCAGGTGACTGCCTGCGGCTGCCTGGACTCCAGCAGCCAATGTGAACCCAGCCAGGTGAGGCTTTGCAAGAAGGGAACTGGGTAAATTGCAACTAACAGCTCCCCTTGGGGAGAACTTCAAAATTTTTTTTTCTTTATTGATCTTAGAGAGAAAGGAAGAGAGAGAGAGAGAGAGAGATGTAAGCACCAATGACAGAGAACATCAATTGGCTGCCTTCTGCATGCCCCCCACTGGGGATCGGGCAACCTGGACATGTGCCCTGACTGGGAATTGAACCGGCAACCTCTTGGTGCATGGGTTGACGCTCAACCACTGAGCCAGACTGGCCGGGCCCAGGAGAGAACCTCTCAGGTACACTGCTCTGAGGAGAAACGTTGCTGTCCCCACAGGGTAGACAGCAGAGGGCGAGAAATGCCGAGACCCCAGGGTCTACCTCACAGGTGGCCCCTGTCTGTCCTGTTCTCCCTGTGGGGAAACGCATGTCCTGGACACCCACTACTTTGACCCCAGACTCCAGGGACCTGATCTCCCTGAGACTGGCTCTGGCTTCCCGTGTCCCAGACTGCTCTGCCTCAGCAGCCCCTCTCCCACCACACCCACCAGCACCACATCCCCGGCGTGTGAGCTACGGCTCCCTCACTTCCTCATGACCCTGAGGACCCTGTCTCTCACCCGCCTATCAGCCAGCATCCTAACTTCATTTCCACCCAAACCAGTGGTTTTATAAATGCCCACAAACAAAATAAATACAAAAGCGAAGCGTAAAAAGTCACACACTGCATGGACCCCTTTGGTCCACCTCTCTCTCGTGAACAAAGTCCCAGCCCTGAGCTTAACATGGCCAAGGATGGGTCTCACCCCCACCAAAACAGGGACCAGGGTGGTTTCATGGCCTACACTTCACCTGGGACTTTAGAAATGACCTTTAGGGGACCCTTTTATGGATCCTGCTAAGCAATTTCTGTAAAAACCAAACCAAACTAAACAAAAACACTACTTCACAGTTTCCTCTCACCTTTCACTCTGCAATACACCTGATGTGCATCGCTGTGAACAGGGAGAGCACACTCACCTTCCAGCCCTGCCTCGGACTTTCTCCATCAGGGCCTGTGCTCTCTCAATTACTGTGGTGCTTAAAACACATTATTTGACACCCTCCCTTCACAAAAGATGGAGACTCGTTCTCCCACCTGAGTGTGGACTTAACGATCCACTTCTGACACATGGTGCGACTGATGAAGTACAGCTTCTAAGATGAGTGTGTCGAAGGTGTGTGGCTTCCTCACTGCTCTCTTGAAGATAGCTTGGCCTGGGAACCTTGCTGCCATGTCATGAGGACTTTAGCAGCCCTCAGCAAGGGCCCATGTGATGAGGAACTGAGGTCTCCAGTCAACAGTCAGTAATCTTGGAAGTACATCTTCTAGCCTCGGTCAAGGTTTCATGATCATGACTCCAGCCATCATCCTGACTGAAACCTTGTAATGGTCTGAATTTTGTGCCCCCCTTCATATGTTGAAGTCCTAACCCCAGGCACCTCAGAATGGGACTGTATTTGGAGATTAGGCCTTTCAAGAGGTGATGAAGTTCAAACAAAGCTGTTAGGGTGGAAACTTAATCCAACATAACTGGTATCCTTGTAAGAGGAGGAAGAGATGCTAGAGGTGCACATGCAGAGGATGACCCCACGAGCACAGAGCACGAAGGTGGCGATCTGAAACCCGAGGAGAGACTTTAATACAAAACAACCCTCCCAGCACCTTGTCCTTGGACTTCCAGCAAATTTTTCCAACAAAAATTTCTGTTATTTAAGTGGACTAGTCTGTGGCATTTTGTTATGGCAGCCCAAGCTACCAATACAAACCTCATGAGAGTCCCTGCCCAGAAATACCCAGCTAAGCTGCTCTTAGATTTCTGACCCTCAGAAATGGTGTGAGATAATAAATATTTGTTGTTTAAGCTGCAAAATTTTGGAGTAATTTATTATGCAGCACTAGATGACTAATACACCTTTCACATCTGCATTCATTCTCTCTTTAGGACTTTTCTCCCTGCATAGAGATAAACTCAGGTCTTGTCTACCTTGAAATGAATCTTCTTGGCCTCATGACACCTTCTAGCTATTGCCTCCTCTTGTTTTTGCTCCATAGCTGAGCTGCTTGAAAAAGTTGCCCCAAGATCCAAGATGGTGGCAGAGTAGGTGGAATCTACACTAACCCCTTCCCAGGACCAAACTGGAATTGCAACTAAATTATACAAAAATCATCCTTATCCAGGTTGGTTTGGTTCAGCAGTTAGAGTGTCGGCCCTTGGGCTGAAGGGTCATGGGTTCAATTCCCGGTCAAGGGCATGTGTCTGGGTTGCAGGTTTGACCCCTGGTCCTGATAAGGGTCATGTGGGAGGCAACCAATCAATGTGTCTCTCTCACATCAATGTTTCTTTCCTCCTCTCTCTCCCTCCTCCCTTCCACTCATTCTAAAGAGAAACTAATGGAAAAATATCCTCAGGCGAGGATTAAGAAAAAAGAAAAGAAAAATCACCCTCAATAACCAACTGAAGACTAGCTGAAGAGAAGCCCTATAACCAAGGATTTATAGAAGGAGCCACATTGAGACTGATAGGAAGGGCAGAGATGCAAAAAGTGTTGGCCCATTCCCACAGGCAGCAGCTGGGGTTCAGGTTGGATATCTCAGCTGAGAAGGGTTCCTCCGAGGAGGGTGGGGCCTAAACCCCAAGTCAGGCTCCCCAGCCCAGTGCGCTAGAGCTAGGAAGAGGCAGCCACATAACATCCAACTGTGAAGAGAAGCAGGGTTTCTGTCCACCAAGGAGAGATGGCTAGAGATACAGGTACCCTCTTAAAGAGCAAATGCACAAAATTCTGTTCATAGCCACTCACCCTGAGCTTCAGCAAGGGAGGGTAGAGTAGATACAGTCATGAGAGAAGAGACTGGGGTTTATGGCACTGGGGACAGAGCTGAAGTGTCAGTCACTAGGATCCATGTGATGAGTCGTTCTCCCACATCACAGAAGCCATCTTTCTCAGGCAGAGCACTACTCTCCATGCAGCATCATCCTGGAGAGAATGTATAGCCTCACCCTCTGGAATCCCTCTCAGCTCACACTGTGGAGTTTACATCCTGCTGAGAAGCACAACCAGAGGCTCTTTCAGTGGCTGAGCCTAATAGGCAACCAGCAGGTGACGGCAGGCAGAGCCAGATCTCTGGGTGTTTTGGGTCTTTTGTTGACCTGTCCCCAGGCCCGTTGCTGGTAGAAGTCAGCCTTGGTGCATAGCTTGGTCTTTCCCATGTGCACCCAGGCCCAGAAGAGTTTGGCACAAGCTATGGATCACTGATAGCTCCAAACAGGTTGCCCAGGGCCAGCC